GCCTGATCAGACACCCCAGACTGCAGGTTAACGGGATTGCATTTAATTTACGAAGATTACACGAAAACTGGTGTTCCGGTAACTGTCTGCAGCGTAACCCAGATGCTTGTATTTCAGTCTTGTCACTGCCCAGACATGCCCACGAGACAATTTCCATATCCGACGGACACATTACGACGCAACACCAAATTAAGGAAACAAGAACAAAGATGAGTTAAGATGACCCAAGAGATGAGATGAGTGCAAAAGGTGACGCAATTCATCAAACCACGATTGAAAATGATGTCAAATCTTCTAATGTAACTCACATTGGCGTGATGAGCGTAAACCATCACGACTCTAATGTAGAAAAAGCACGTAACGTTACATGTGATGCAAATTTCCGAGATCCGAATAACTCGCAGTTGACAGCAATTCTTGAATATACAAGCAGAGCGGCTGCGTTGACATTTTAAATGGAAAGGTAAAATACTCACGCAGCTTTCTCCCGTTGTGCTTCTGTGTGGCTGTAATGAGAGATGCCGCACCGTTACAGCCCCAAGATACTCGTGCGCTAACGGATGTTACAATTCTTCTTCAGCGTCCGCCCATTCGAGCCAATCATCGAGCGAAGACGTGACGCTTAGCATTATGATTGGTTGGGTGAAGGGTGACGCAAGAGCGTGTCTATGGTTCTAGCTTGTAGTTTTCCATTCGCTGACCGTTTCTCAATACCAAAGTATGCAAAATTCGGATCTGCGCCCTCGGAAGTTCGGACTTCGCAAGAGGACGGAGTGGGGCTTCAATCTTCAACTGGCTGGCAGGAGCCGCCACTGACAGGTCATGTGACAGCTGCCAGTCTGATTCTGGCTGGTGGCAGCTGCCAGTCTGATTCTGGCAGGTCATGTGACCTGCCAGTGGCTGGCTGGCAGCTTCAGGCAGCCGCTGTAGATCTGTGAGTAGAACGCCTACCCTATCACTCTCGCTGCAAGGAAATACACTATTTTATTATGAATATATTTTCATGACTGTTTTTTTTTTGAATGATTGACGTTTTAGGGTTTTTTCCCCAATTAAAGCAGTCAAATGAACGTGATCACGGCTGGTTGCTTACTGACGCTTCGTTGGACGCTCAACCAGCCAGCCGCTGCTGCCTCTCATTCCAAGGAAATCATTCTGATTTGTATGGATAGTGACTGTAGTTGTGACGATATTACGATTTATGTTATGTAATAACATTTGTTATGCAATAATGTAAAGCATAAAAAAATACCTATTAAAAAAGTGAATTATCCCAATAACATGAATCTTTCTCATAAAGTAATTTCAGCGACAACAGGACAAACTGCAATGCTTTTTAATAATTCAATAAAAGAAAGACAACTTAAAATTGTAAAATCACGGAGCACAGACTGTATCAGTATTTTACAAAGACTATTTACAAATAAAAACAAGAAAAAAAACTATTTACAAATAAAATATAAGAACATATATATATATATATATTTTGCTTGTAGCACTTAAAACTGTTATTCCACACAGTATCCAGCAACAAAGGCCATTTCCGCTTAGAATCTGTGGAACCCCTCTGTCTTTCTGAGAATCAGAATGGATATCTATAATCAAGTAAAAACACAATCATTACAATTGTATCACATAAATTGTGCATTAAATGTAGAATTGATAACTGCATAAACACACTATATTTAAAATATAATTAGCTCTTGAATTATTAATGTCTTCTTCACAAAACGTAACATACCTCAGGTGTCATGACTTCCGTAACATAAGAAACGCTTGATTAATCTTTTATTTTCAATGCCAAAACACTGAATACTTTGTCAATGATTCCATCAGTCTATGACAAACAACAATGCAAATATTTCACTTATTAGTGTTTCAAATAAATCCAGCATCTAATAATTCAATTACATTCCAATAGTTTCAGATTATAATGAATGATAAGATATTGAGAATCTTTGGTGTAACAGTACTATGAAGATTCAAGATTCAAGATTTTTATTTGTCACATACATAAAGCTATAAAAATAAGTAATTGTGGTATGTTATTGTACCTGTTCTTCGTCAAACACTGAGATACGTAGTTTGCACAGATTTTTCAGTGTGGGTGCATAATTCGGATGCTTGTGTAAAAACATTCTTTGTGATTTCACTGCACCAGATGTGAG